GCCCTCCCCCGCGGCGTGCCGCGCCGCGCCGCGCCCGCCCCCGGCCCGGCTCGGCCTCGGGCAGGCGGGGCCGACCGCACTCGGAGCCGTAGCCCGCGCCCGCGCCCGCGCCGGAGTCGCCGCCTGGGGCGCTCGGGTCGGCCGCCGGGACACCGGAGCTGGGCGCTGCCGCAGCCGCAGGTCAGTGTCGGGGTGCGGGGCGGCGCTGGGGGCCTGGAGGGCGGGGAAGCGCCGAGGGGTCGGGGCCCGAGGAGGGCCGGGGCTGCGGCGTCGAGGTCGGAGGGGACGGGCACGGACAGGTCCGGGTGAGGGTCGCTGTCGTGCTGAGAAGTCCCGGCACAGAGCGAGCCGGCGGGCCGTGGAGGGCAGGGGCTGCGCGCGAGACGCGCCACAGGGAGCGGCGGCCGCGCACCGGGAGACGCGGGTCGTGCGTCCGGCGCTCCCGGGACAGGCCTCCTCGAGGGAGCGCCTGGGTCGGGGTCCGCGAGAACCGGGGACCTCCGAGTCCCCGGCGGAGGTGCGCAGGCGTCCGGGAGGCGCTCGAGGGGGAACTTTGGGACCGAAACGCGGACTCCGGTGCTTGTCCGTCCCGCCGCCGTGGAGTCTCCTTCTCGGTCTCCAGAGCTCTGGAGGCGGTCACTGGGGGTCGCGGTGACAGATAAGCGAGGGGCGCGTTCGAGGTCACCTAACCCCGGTGCCCTTGAGCGCTGAGCTGGCCGTGAGCCGAGTGAAGAGGCTGGGATGTGGGCCGGATTCCCCGGGGCTCTAGGGGATGGAGAATGCGTGCGTCCCCCGCCCCACCCCCGTGTTTGGAAAGGTGGCATTACCGGGCTGGGGGCTCCTACACGTGCCGCGCCTCCCTGCCCGCTCTGTGTACTCTCACTGAGGTAGGGAGAGGCAGGTAGCCTAAACAGAAAGCCCTGGTCCCTCAGTGCAGGGGGTGAAAAGTGGGTGTGTGGTTGTGGTACTGTATGCCTTGGTATTTGGGGAGGAGCCTAAGGTAAGGAGGCAGAAACTGGGAGTAACCTATTCGCTGCTTTTATATAAGGTCAGTTGTTAGGTAAAGAAGGGGCCTTTACCTCTGCTGGTGTTCAGAAGGCTGCATTTCTAAATTCTTCTTGTTAGCTTCCGTTGCTTAGGTGAGTCGCCTCACTCTGATTGCATTTTGTTGAAATGTGTTGATGTGTCCCAAATTTGCGAGATGATGATGACGACGATTATATTATATCGTTGGTGTTTGGCTGTGCTTTTGTTTTACCCTACGAATCGAGTTCACTTGGGTCTAAGGATAATTCACTATTTTCTTGGGAAAAATAGTGTCAGTTTTAGGAGAAATAAAATTTAAAAAAAATAGTGATCTGTCAGGAAGAAGCTAAAGTTTTTCTGTTTTTCCTTTTCAAGGTTGGGGGATGAAATGTAAAATTAAATTTGTTTAAATTATCATCTGAAAACATAACCAGGCGCAAGATGCTGAACGGAGCTGTAGGAACCCTATTGCTGGAGAAGCTCCTTATTTTGAAGTACATTATTTTAATGTCAACTGTTTGTTTTTTTTTTTTCATTCACGAAACAAGTTGTAACCAGAGGTGTTGAGAGAACAGTGAAATAACTTACTCTTTAAAAGGACCCAGGCACATCTTCTTCCACAAATCTCAGGTGTTCTCTGGCAGTCTCCCGTCTATAGCTAAGGGATCAGTCGCTAACTGAAAGCAGAACCAAAATGATGGCGTTAGATGATTTAGGAAACTAGAGAGACTGACATAAACATTCCCTGGGGCTTCTCAAAGAAATACTTCACACTCCTATGAATGTTTTATGGAAGACACTTACACATATTACCAGTTAGCGTTCTGAGGGATATTTCGAGGGAACCTGTTCAAGTTTTAACATAATTTTTGTGTTGTCTATTTTCAGTCAGATTCACAGATTGATTCTGCAGTTAATACGGTGCCATAGTATTCTTTAATATACAAACTTTAAAACTAATGTCGTGTTAGCCAAAAAATGAAGTTTGTTACAAAACCATCTATTTTTGCCTTACTAGGTACTTCACATAATTTTTCTCCTTTATTTAAATTATATGATATGTGATATTTCACTTGCTGATAATTATATCTTAAAACATCTTAGAATCAACTAGTGACCATCTCAATCTTTTGTAATTCACTGGGAGAGGGAAAAAGTGGGTATTTCATTTTTAAATAAAAATTCTTTTTCATATTGAGAAGTTTGTTTCTAGTCTTTACAAAAACTATAACAGCATGACATTGATGAAGTATGGAGATTTGAAGGATTCTGGACTAAGATTTTGGGGCATTGTTTTTTCACTCTTCTAGATTTAAAAGAATATAACTTTAAAAAAGTAAAACTCAAATGTCCGCCAGCATCATATTCTCTATTACACTTAAAATACTTTGAAAATATTTTTTGTGATTGGTTATTTTCAGTAATTAAATACAGTTTTCTTTAAAGGGACAAATTTCCTTAATGTTCATTTCTTTGTTTCAGAATGATGTTTAAACAATATGTCATAATTTTTTAAAAAAACACTATTAATTTCAAAATCCCTATGACATTTAAAATTTATACAGGAGACAAAGTCTGACTTTAGGAGTATGGATTAGAAGGACATTACTGATTACGGCTAATTGCTTTTAGTAAGTTGTAGGACTATAAACAAATACTTATTTTCTCTCTTCTGTAATTCTCTGAAAATAAGATGTTTGCCACTAATCTTAACTCGGAAGATAATTATGCGTGTGAAAGCTTTGTGGCAGCCGCTGCTGTGAAAACATACACCAGTATTAGTACATCTCATTTAGTTTTCAGATTGTGAAATGATTGTTAATAACAGGAGACTTTCATGAAGCATGGGAAAAGTGTTGAAATAATACTTTGCAAATGTTTTATAAATCCTGGCCCATACTTTTACTTCTTTCATAGGATGTATGTATGTATCTATCTGCTAATGGATAAGACAGAAAATGTCATCCTTCTAATTTGTGGGTGTCCTGCTGAATTCATTTTCACTTGAACTTGGGAATATATGTCCTAAGGTGTAGCAAACCGTACTGGAAGAAGTTTTTGGTCTCATTGGTTTCCACTAAATAAATACCAGTTGTAGAGGATTTTTTAAAAATCACTAATCAAGAAAACTTGATTTAAATCACCAGTCTGTAAATGTAAACATATGCTCCCCACCTAAAAAATAAACTGAATTTCTAAGTTGCTTTTCTTATTTTTCCTAGCAGACCCCAACGTTAGGGTAGTTGAGGCCTAAAAGCAATAAAAAAAGGCAGCGGTTTAAAGTGCTTATGAAGGTTCTTTGAAACTGATATAACTTGACTCCACCAAAGTACAGTAAGATCTGTGAATAACTCATCTTGCAAGCATAGACAGCCCCCACATATCATACTTTAGTTAGTTTCATAACATTCTAGACAAAAATTTTAAATTGAAGATTGTTTGAAATCTTCCTGGAGTTTCTTATTTACTATTTGTATTTTATCAAAATAGAGAGGTAGATTTTGAGAAGTTCTATGGTGTATGTTTTAGAGCTTATTTAATAAAAATGTCATGTTTTAATTTCTCTTTACCTAAAATACTTACGTTGGTTATTGGAAGGAAATTGATTCAAATACAGTAGACCATATTTTGGAGATAGCTTTTGTAGATGTTAAGGCAAAAACTGTCACCAATAATAGTCTATACTTATTTGTTTTTTTAAGTTTATAAAGAAATATTTTTCAACAACCAATACATATCCACATTTTAATACTGAATATTTAATTCAGAATATGAATGTTTACATTTCTCACAGTTTCGGTTATTACAATGGGGCGAGTCCCTTGTGCTTTCTCCCATCCCATTGCTAAGCAGGCCCGACCTTGCTTAGCTTCTGAGATCAGATGAGCTCTCACGCAGTTAGGGTGGTAATGGCCATCAACCACTTATCCTTTCTGTCCATTTCCTCATCTGTGAAATGGGAAAAGTATTGCAATTATTGTTCTGTGCTTTTTTTTTGTATGACTTTAAGACTTTATCAGCAAAGCTGTGTATTTAAATAATATGACCTATGAATTTAACTGAGCAGATATTTTAAAGAGAACCTTCATGGTTATTCATGTCACAGCTAGCTCTTCTACAAAGGCTGATGGACACAAATTTTGAGATCATTGTTAAGAATGAACTGAAGAGGGGTGCTGGGGTGGTTCAGTCCGTTGAGCATCTGACTCTTGATCTCAGCTCAGGTCTTTATCTTAGGGTTTTGAGTTCAAGACCCCTGTTGGGCTCCACACTGGGCGTGGAGCATACTTAAAAAAACAACAAAACACAACAACAAAGAATGAACTAAAGATAATGCTTGCTGGGTGGTGATCAATTTATAAAATGTTTCTGGAAATATTTCATCAATATTCAGTTTAAAATTGTATTTCCTATTCCCTGGTAACTTTAGATAAAAAATCAGACGTCTGTTTTCTTTTGTTTTACTGTTACTATCTTTGTGAGTCTTATGTAGACACAATGTGGATCCTCTTGTGTCAATATCGCATGTCTAATGTGGTCTAGGTGTAGATTGTGCTTTTATTTGATAAAGTTCTATTCTTTACGTATTTTTATGGCGCACCCTGTGAGTGCTTAATGTAAGTTACCCAGGAGTAGATTTCTTTTATAATGAGGCCTGTGAACCTTCAGATCAAAAGACAGTTCAGTATCTCAGACTAAAAGACTAAATAGTGACTTGTACTTGTTGTAAAAATTGGGTCTTTTCCTAACAAGCTATAACCAAAAATAGGCTTTTAGAGGCTTAAAAGTGAGGATGCTTCCTAATAGCATGTAATTAATCATGCATCATCCAAATAATACATTTTAAATTCTACTTGTGAATTATTAAATAATGCATTTTATTGTGAAGTGTCTCCTCTGCAAGAAAGTAAGGGACGTGGTTCCAGGTCTGAACCCCATTCTGTTTCTGGAATATGGAGCTACAGAACCCATGTAGGGACATAACTAAAGGGGTGAGGAGACTGAGGGCAAAGAAGGGTTTAGGCCAGTGCCTATAGGTGAGTGTTCCCTTTTCCTGTGGCTTCCCCTTTGGGGTGGGGAGCAGGGAGCAATATTAGCTAGCATATACTCTCTTCATAGTAGCTTGGGCTTTCTCAGAGTCATTGCTGTACCTT